CAAGGAGCCACTGAACAAGAACACGTTGGCAGCGGTCGCTGCATAGGTGCTCGTGTCAAGGAAGGTGTCGGCTAATGTGGATAGGTCAACGCACTGAAAGCTTTCCAGCGCTGGATCTGTATCAATGCCCCACCATGGGCAAGCACATTCCCAAACATCAGCCGCACCAGTGTCCGAGACCGACCCATCTGGACATTCTGCGTCGCAGGCACCTTGACCCACCAGATTTTTGTAGAATCCAGGGGGGCAGTTTAGACAGGCACCGAGCGATTCACCCCAATAGAATCCACGTCTGCACTCACAATGAGCCAATAGACTTGAGCCACGGGGTGAGGTGCTTCCTGCAGGACAAGGGGCTAGAAGAGCTGGCCAACCCCCAGCGCAATAATACCCGATTGGACATTCCTGGCATTGGCTCAGAGTGCCTACTGCAACCTGAAGTTCATAGAAACCAGGAGGGCAAGCTACGTACAACGTCATCGCCACCTGCCGATAACCTGTTGACTCTTCGCACTGGCTGGACCTGGCTGAACACCAACAAAGCTGAAGGACCTCTGGTTTGCTGCTGTTGAGCTCCAAGTATCCCAGGTCAAAGTGATAGGCACCAGTTGAAGCGTTAATTGTTCCAGGAACAGACTCTGGTTGAAGAAAAGTACGGCTAGGAACCACTCCGACACACTCTGCAAGAGGTAGAAGCTGGTCCCCACTTGCAAGGCTGACTCCTCTTAAGTCTGTCTCCATAACAATACACCGAGATCCAAATTGGCACTGAAAGGATTGACCTGAATATGGCCCTGTGGCAATAAACAATCCCGCCGACACATTGAAGTCTGCGGGCTGGTCACACTGGGAAAAATTGCTGGGGCGACACCAGCAGAGTCGGAAAAACCCAGGATCTGACTCCAAGTATTGGCTGCTGGGAGTCAGACTGCTGTTGGCATCCTCAATGAATTGAAAGTCATGACCTTCGTCTGTCTGCCCAATTCCTGTACCAGGAAGGCCTCGCAGGAATAGTCCTTGGCCACATTGCTCCATTGCTGTGATGCGGTCACCTGTGTTTTGGGTGCCCCCAGGGGCCGTCAACTGGACAGTGGCATGGAATCATATCAAATCATGTGAGCACATATTAAAACTAAAAAAGATGGCTCAAAGAAACATAATTAGTTGTTTCACAAGTTCTGGCCTGCTTTTAGGTTTTTTCCGTCACTAAGTGACAGTGAGCACTGCTGTCCAGTGAAACATTCAGCCTCCGTAGCGACCCCTGGCCCCTCAATGACAAAGATTGCAGCTGAGTGTTCGAGGTAAAGGGTGCTCTTGGTACCAGAACTGAAGTCCATGTCACTGCAGTTTTGTCCTTTGGACGAACACCAGCACAGATTGTAATCTCCAGCTGGAATTTGAACCACTGAGCTGAAGCTGGCAAACAAGTCAAACTCGCCAGGAAGGCCACTTTCTGCGCTTAGGGCCTGTACAATCATTCTGGTTCCTGCTGCTGCTCCATTGCCCCTAGCCCAGTCCAATGTGCAGCCACCGCGCGCGACTATTTCATCTTGTCCTGTCAAGCCAAGTCCGAGAATCGGGCCCTTGTTAGTGCAGGTTTGTCCCTTGACGCAGAAAAATTCCTGATCCTTGAAAGGCCCAGAAATGGAAATGACCCCTACATCTGTGAGGTACTTGTTGGCTGCTGAACACAGCTCACTCAGCCCTCCACACCAACAGAGCCGGTAAGTGCCAGGGTCTGCTTGTACCACTCCTGGCCATGTGTAGCTGGTGCTGCCGAGCGCAGAGCGCCCATTTGGTCCAAAGCCAGCGACTGTTGAGTCATCGTCCTGAAGTCGTCTCCCACGCCGTGGCGGCACATTGGAAAATTGTGCTGTTTCAGTGGCAGCCATACTTGGAACCCCATAGCCGCCGCTGAAAGAGTCTTGCCAAATAAACTCCTCCGATACATCCAGTCTCCTAAGATAGCCTCCATATGGTCCATATGGTCCATAGCTGCCTGTCGAGCCCATGGTTCCACCATAGCTGCCAGAAGACCCTGTGTCAATGATCTCACAAACTTCAGCTTTTACCATGACTGAGTGCATTTCAACAAGCCCTGTACCCTGAAGGTTTCCGATTACGCAAGGTTTACCGACAATGCACTCAAACGACTGGTTGTGATGCGGCAGAATGCAGTCGGCACTGCTTTTGGATCCTTTGAGCAATGTGGAAGTCCCAGGGCATTCTTGGCAATCATTTTCGCTTGCTGCTCCAATATTGTCCGAAAATCTGCCAATGGGGCAATCTGAACATACTGTGGAGCCTGCCTGTGATGAATAGCGGCCAGCTTCACAAGCAATGCAAGTTGAATTCCCAGCAGCTGGCTGGTAAGTTCCCGCATAGCAATCCTCGCAATTCTCACCGTAGTAATTCGGAATCTTGCCAACAGCACAGGGCGTACAACTAGAACTTGCAGCTGAAGAAACTGTTCCAATGGGGCAGCTTTCACATGTGGATCTATCTGGCGAGCTGAAGGATCCTGCAAGGCACTGATAGCACTCCGAGGTACCTGCAGAAGAATAGTAGCCGGAATCACAAGCAGTGCAAAAGAAGTCGGTGGCACCCTTTTTGGTTCCTGCTGGGCAGTCCTCACACTGGTCCTGCGCTGCGTTTGGATACTGCCCATCATAGCATACACTGCAACTCTCACTGCCATTGTACGCATAATAACCTGGCCTGCAACGAGTACACTGAAAGGCCTCAGCAGCAGAAAAGTAGCCACCCGAACAGGAAGCGCAGAATGAGCTCCCTGCTACCGCATAAGTGCCACCACCACAGGAGTCACACTGTGAAGAAGACGTATATTGCGAAAATTTTCCGCGGGGACACAGGGTACAGCTAGTGGCCGCACTTGAGCTGCCATATTTTCCCTCAGGGCATGAGAGACATTCGGTGGCATTGTCATCTGGGTAAGTTCCAGCCCAGCACTCGAAGCAAGAACTTGCACCTTCGTAATTGGAGTATTTCCCAGCTTCGCACCTTGGAGCTTTAGGAACCCCCAAAAGGTAAACAAATGGAGAGAGATCGTCATAGATATTCAACACTTCAACCCAAAATCCATCTCTTACACTATAATTCTCTTATAATAAATATTATATATATAATTTTATATATATATGTACATAACTCTCCTGATATTCTCTTTATTTCAAATATATTTCTCACTTTTCTCATAGATTCCCCTCAAATCCCTCAACCCGTGGATGCCAGGCCAGGGCGCTGGCTGCATGCACCAGTCGCTCCACCCCCAAACCTTCCCACAGGACACATGCTGCAGTCGGTGGCATCCGCGTTTTGCTCGCTGCCCGAGTAGCAGGTCTCGCAAGCGGTGGCCCCCGTAAATCGAGCAACACCAGAACCGATGGTGCAAGACACACACTGAGTGTTCCCAACTCCACCACTGAACTTTCCAATCTCACAGTCTTGGCATATACTTGCGCCAAGAAGGCTGGATGACTTTCCACTAGGACAGAGAGCGCAGAGCAACTCCAAGGTATGGAATTTCCAATTCATTCCATCATCCTCTAAATATTTTCCAGCAGGACAATCCGTGCAGTTTAAGGAGCCAGTCGTTTCAGTGTACTTGCCAGCAGGGCAAACCAAGCACTGCGCATACATAGAATCCCAGTAGTATCCGTCCCCACCTTAGCTGTTTTGACCCACTGGGTTTCTACACGGGTGCTCACCTGCAGCACCCATTCGAAGACTAGGAACAAAAAAATGAATCGAATCTATGTTGGGCAGGTCCTTGGAGATTTGGTAAAATCTAGATCCTAAAATTTGAAGCTCCAGATACGGGAACCTGCCACTTTAAAGAGGCAGGACACCTCCACCTCCACGTTTCATCACCGTGAAAATTGATGAAAAATTGCTCATTTGCACGACAGGCCAACAATTCATAATCACGTATCTCTTGGAGCAAATTGAAGACAGACATGAAAGTCTGAACCATTTGGAACGCCTAGCTATGAAAAGAGAGTTGCACAGCAGCGAAGCAGAAGGAGAAGAAAGCTCGAACTGTGATATACTGGGCCCGGTTGAATCAACATGTTGTAGTTATTTCGGATTCAATGCGAAAGCTTTTATGCGTGCTGGTGCTCACATCAAAGACAGTCAAAGGCAAGGTCATGCAGCCTAACACGAAGCTTCAAGCACGCACAAGCTCAAGTAGCGGGTGGCTTGCTTTTGGATGGACCAGCCAGAAATTACATATCCAGTGCAGCGTGTCTCAATATGATCTGTGGATCCGTCCACAAAGGTACGAAGAATTTGCCAAGAGGAACAAGTAGATAGTATGCTTGAGATGCAGCTGCATCATCTTGGTCCAATCCCCTTTGTTCTGGGTGAGGTTGGATCCCCAATAGGACGGTCCAACCTGATCGAAACAACCCTGTTTTAAGGATCCACCATCTAAAATTCAAGCAGCCGAGGTGAATCAACCCCATCAACGAGACTTGGAAATGGATCATTTTCCACATTTGCGGGGATGAATATTCATTCGCCGGCCATTTAGGTGTTCACCAGGCTACAAGTAGGCAACAACTCTTGGGCTCTGACACTCATCGGATGACTCCACTGCAGTCCACAAGAACAGCAAACGCCAAAGGAAAATGGACACCATCTGGGCGCGGAAAAGAGGATACGCCGCGACTGGTGCCCCATTTCTTCCATCCAAGCCACATGGCTGTGCAGCCGTGACATGGCTGATACGTTTGTGTGGCATCCTTTCAACACCAATATGAACACAAGTGAACGCGTTCACCAGCTATACATGGGAAAGCAAGGGAAAGCAGCTGCCCTCCATTTTCATAATTCAAACTGACTCTTTTGTGAGCACCGCCCGTGCATTAGCATGGCGGGAGGGAACATTCTCTACATCCAGCACGGCCTCTTGCTGCAAGGATTACTGGTCTAGTGGTCCAACAGTCTAGATAAAAGAAGCGACCCCAAATGCTCTCGCCAACTACCAACACCTGAGATCTTAAGGCTGCATGCAGGCTGGTTCAACACGCCTTCGCGTGACTGGCATGGTCTATTAAATTACAACTACTGCAACGCTATCCTAGGCCCCAACTCAGCTGTAGCCGCTGTAGCCCTCCTCTAGGGAGATATTCCTGCAGACTTGCACGCCACATCCTGATATAACATGATATGACTATATCCTCAGATTTCCTCAGAAGGCCCACCATGGAAGAGAGGCGAGTTTAAGGTCAGCTTTGCTCTGAATCTGACTTCAATAAAGAAGTAACAATTGGAGTCGGAACTCTTGCTCTCCATGTGTTGGCTTTGCTGGGAGCTGTTGGCACCGGCCATTAGATCGATCAATCTCTGTCAAGCTTCTGTTCCAATCTGGGACAACGATCTAAGCCATTTCAAAACCTTAGCACCCGGAGGGCAACAGTTTCACGCAGTAATCCTGGTACACATGATCAGCCTCCCACTCTGACGCGAGCCTGGCTTTATCAGAATCAGCTTAATAGCTCATCTCATCATCCTGACCACAAGGCTTGATCCAACCACATCAACAAATCATCGTAGCTGCTGAAGCAAACCGCTGATGCCTCCGAGGGAATTCGTGGCACAATCCCCTCGACCTTTGGGATCTCACTTTGCTGTGCCTCAGGGCATGGACACATGGCCATCATGCTTGAACCCGTGCCACCGAAAATGCAAAACCAAACCTGCCACGGCATACGGAAAAAACACGTTTTGTCTCACATGAAATGAGCTTCAAATTACCCTCTGGTAAATTAACATAGACCCTGGTAGATAGGGGTTGGAAGATTAGTTTCCTCTAACAATTGGTGATTTTCAGGGTCTATGTTTATTTACCAGAGGGTAGCAGCCAAACAATGCCAAACATCCTGTGGAAATGGCTGGGCGGCTGCGGCTACCCTGGATGAGTTTCCTCATGAACTCGTTGGACCAAGAGGCAACTTCCTTCAAGCTGCCTCCCATGGGGCACCCCGTGTCAATATCTCCAGCATGTGGGTGTCTTAAAACGGGGTATACCGTAGGTATACCCCAAAACGGGTTGTTTTAATAAAGAAAATGAGGATTGACATGGATTGACTAGGGTTTTATTCTGCATAATTCAGATACTGTTCTAAACAATCCGGTGACAAAGCCATTTGAGGATACCTTTAAAAATCACCGCATCTCGCCTTGTGTCTTCTTTTTCGCCGAAGTCAAGGAGGTTTGAACCGCCTCGCCACAGTTCACGATCCGATCCGAATCGACATTGGAGCGAGTTCGAAATGTTCGAATGAGAAAACTATAGAACATCTAAAACACATCTTTTCCGCGACACTCGGAGTTGCTTAAGTTTGTGTTTTTTTCTCTTGTGATCTTTCATGATCTTTCTGTTTTTGGAAGTGCTGCCCATGGTTTGCAATTGACTAGTTCATCTAGTTCGTTTTTCTGCCAGAAAGAGGGTCTGTATGCAATTTGAGCGCCCAATTTTCAGGTGAGACCAGTCAGAAAAATATCAGAGAGTGATCAGCGGAATTTTCCGTCAATCGTTCCGTGCACACACAGGAATCCACATATGCAATTAGGTCTGTATATTTAATGTGTATGTATATCTGTATGTCTAGAATATATAATATATGTGAATGCATGCATGCATGTATGTATATATATATACATATATGTGTGTGTGTGCATTCATTTGTTTCCCTGTGCCATTTAAAATATTTAACAATAAATGAATGAATAAATGAATAAATGAATAAACGATAATAAATGAATAAATGAATAAATGAATAAATAGCATGATGAAATAAAATGGAATATTGGAATATCATGGAATGCCGCGCCTTTTCTGTCGTCATTGTCAAAGCTTGCATTTCTTCGCTTGGGCCAATAGGGCTTCGTTCATCGCCATCACCTTCCACACCTTCCACCCCCTCATTGGCATCGCCAAGCACTTCCTGCACAAGGTCACCAGAAATCTGATGTAACCGGAAACCATGATCCTTAATATCACCAACTCAATGGAACATGGATTTCCTGAAAAAATTGTCCCGAACCCATTCTGGGAAATGGATGGAAATGGGTTTGTCGGAATTTTTCTGGGGGAAATCTGACAAATCTGCGGCTTAATCATGGGTTAATCATCCCTTTCCCGATTAGAAATTAGAATATGTTTAACTTGCCAATTTGGGGGTAAATCCTTCATTTTCGAACTCTCTTCAGAGCTCCTGTGCCATGATGTCTTCTCTGATGATTTGCGTCTCCGCAAATCTCATCCTGTGATTGTGCATTGCGGCTTGCGTGCTGCTCACCTGAGCTAACATCAGCAGCTCACCCCAGCCTCCCAGTTCCCACAAGCTTCACACTAGCTTCACGCTCAGAAATGTGACAGCAAATGGCTGTGACAATGGAGCACCAATTTCATGACAATTTTAGGAAGAACATGCTGAGTTTCACCAGTTTCACCCGAATGCTCTGCCAAGGTGCCAGCCATGCTGCCTCTTCAGGGCTCAGCTTGCTGAGGCGAGCAGTCATTTCAAGAAAGTCATCCGGCACGATGCGCCAGGTCATTGCGCGTGGCCCTTGTGCCGTTTTCGAGGTCCGACGCCCTTCCACTTGGTGCAGAATGTCCACCACTTTGGCCTTCCATTTCTGGGCCAAGTGCTGCTTGGGAACCTGGCTGGGGACATGGCGAGATGCCGTGGTCAGAGCACACATGACCTGGATGGCGTCAGCAGGGAGGCTCTTCTGATTGAAGTCATCCAGCCAAAGCTCCGTGAATTCCTCAAAGGCCTGCGAATCGCCGGGTGCAAAATGAGAGAAATCGCTTATGAATGCATAAAGAATGCATAAAGAATGCTTATGATAGTTCCAAAATGTTCCAAAGTCATAAGTTCTGGATAGTTCTGGATTGGAAACTCTAGATCTTCAAGAATTGCAGTTTGCCAGAAGACATCCATTTCGAAGGCGCTACGGTGCTACGCCTTGATCACGGTTTTCCGCTGGAACGTGAGACCAAAGCGGAAGATCTTTGATCTGGTGTCCCTAACCGCCGACACCTGCATGGCACAGCTGGGAGTCGGCGGTAAAAAGGAAGCTGGAAACACTACAGTGACCCAGTGCCAAGGACTAAAGTTGTGCCGGGGTGCTACACGTTGAAGGCCCCCCTCCTTTCCGGGCTTTCCTTCACTTTGTGCAGCAGAGACAAGGGCAAACGACTCGCTTCCAACTGACCACCTGAGATGAAATGCGCTTGACTGGACCTCACCAAGACAAAAAGTGACACTCATTTCCCCACGTAGGACGAGAGAGAGAGAGAGAAGGCTCAATTGCAGCCATCGGCTCATGATTGGTGGAGTTGAGCGTGCATGCAGCCGTGTCACTCTACGATGACTCTCTCATCATCCCTTTCCTGAAACAGCACTGTAGTAACGCCGACAAACTTCTTCTTCAATGTCCCTGGAGGCATGAATGCTGAACAGCGAGGGACCATTTCCCACAGCCTTCCCTGACTCATTTTTTCCCAAAAACAGATGGTAAGCACAAGCAGCCACAAGCAACATGCCATACCTGGCACCATCCCCATCCCTGGCACCATTGGCACCATCCCTGGCACCATCCCTGGCACCCTGGCCTGCAAGTCTCTTGAGGCGGCTTTTCTTCTTCGCTTTCTTCTCCAAGCCTTGCATCTGCTTCCATTCCGAATCACTGTCGTCGCTCTCTTCCAGCTTGACCTTGAAACGTTGCGGATCGTTGCGATGTTTTCTTCGGAGCTTCATGGGGCGAGCATGAAATTATCAAAGTGATTACCATAGTCATTGATAACCAGAAGATTGAAACCATTATCAACCATCATATAACCAGTGATTACTATTGATAACCAATGATTACCATAGTCATTGATTTCCATTATCAACCGTCATATACCCACATATTACCAGCACATTGAATGGGCAAAAACCAAAAAAATCGTCGACTCAGCAAATCCAGCTGGACTGATGCGCGAAGAATTTGCACCACAATGTGTAGACCGAAATAAGTGCAAAAGGAGGCCAGCATTGTGGCCAGTGTGCACGCAAGGGCCCACATCATTTCTTCAGCTGGGTTGAAGATCAGCAACACCGAAATGGTGCTGAAGAGGAAGAAGCGAAAACTCAATAGGCACATCTCTAAAAAGTCCAGAATCTCCGCTTGGGTGTTTGCAAATGGCTGGTACCAAGCGGCAATTGCAAGCATACAACCTGAGACAAAGGGAAACAAGAGCAGCTTGGCCTTACCGTCGCTGGCAATGGACGTGTAAGTCACAATGTTCATAAGTCCAATGTCTGCTCTCTTGACGAGGATGTCCCACCACCAGTAGCGAGGCTCATATCCTTCGCAGAAATAGCCATACTTCCGCATGTTCTCAGCGCTTTGCCTGTCCTTCAATCGGTAGATTCGCCAGAACAGAGTCAGGGGCACGGCAGTGCACCAGAGCCCCAAGCCGATGCATGCGATCAAGAGACTCGCAAAATGATCCCTGCTCCAGCACACGACGTCTGGATGTGGAAGCAGGCGCTGCTGGACAACAATCCTGCCGTCAGCATCCTCGCCAGAGATAGAAGCACACCAAACCATCTGCAGAAACGCTCGCAAAAGTTCTGGCCACCTCAATTCCAGAAGCGCAAGAAGCAAAAAATGCAGCTAGATGCAGCTAGTAATTCATAACAGTCACAACAGGCTATAAATAAAATGCTAAACACCTTTACAACAGCCATGCTGGGCTTGTTGCATCATGTTGCATCCAGGGGACATAGCCAACAGAGTCACCCAGAAAACTGGAATACACAGAACAAGCAGTTCGACGAAGCCGGGACGGCTTGTGAAGAGTCCAAAGTCCAAGGTCGCCTCAGCGGTGCCGGTGCTACGACCAACGGGCCATCCATGGCCCATCTATGGCCCATCCATGGCCCTGTCCCATTGCATCCAAAGGGCTGGATCTAATTCGTAGGCAGCTTCGCCCTGTGTCTTGCTCATCGCTTGCGCTTCAACTTCAACCTCATCCCTGCCATAAGGTATGCCACTGTCAAACCGAAGGAAAAAGGAAGCATGTCTCCACATCAACATCAACATCAACATCGACATCATCATCATCATCATCATCATCATCATCATCATCATCATCCTCGTCATCCTCGTCATCGTCATCGTCATCGTCATCGTCATCGTCGTCGTCGTCGTCGTCGTCGTCGTCCTCGTCGTCATCCTCATCACCATCATCATCATCATCATCATCATCCTCGTCATCGTCATCATCATCGTCATCCTCGTCGTCATCCTCGTCGTCATCCTCATAATCATCATCATCATCATCATCGTCATCATCATCATCATCATCATCATCCTCGTCATCGTCATCTTCATCGTCATCGTCATCGTCGTCGTCATCCTCGTCGTCATCCTCATCATCATCATAATCATCATCATCATCATCATGATCATCATGATCATCATCATCATCATCATCATCATCATGTATTTCAGGTTAGGGTTTGAGTTTACCCCGGCCTGAGCCGAAGACAAATTGATTTCACAACGACATTCCAGGTGCGTTCTCTTGCCTCAGGTGGGCACATGATGCACATGGCTCGGCCCTGGAAACTCAGAAGGAGATGCTGCAAATGGCATTCCGCCCAGTGACAGATTGCTCGAAGAGGTTGGCGGACGATGCACTTGCTGCAATCACCTCAGTGGCTGGGACCCACACAAAGACTTGTGAGCCCCTTGAAAATCTTGAACCATTATTAACCATTATAAATGATAAACTGTAAATTATAGTTATAAATCGTATATATTATATATATATAACAATAGGTAATTGGAGATCGTGCCCAGGAGCAGCTTCGGCCACACGATCCTGTGGAAAGTGGGACTCCACCTTGCCCGCTAACTTCCAGGCCAAAGCTCGATGAACCTTCGCCACAGCGGTTAGTTGCTGCGAACATCACTGACTGATTCATCTGACGGAGTCTCTCAGTATGTCAAAAATGTCAAGACACAAAGGTTTCAAGAAGATCTCCAGGTATCCTCAGGAGGCAGCTCGCAACAGGCAGCTTTGCTGAATTCACATGAATTGACGATTTGTCTAGCACTGCAGCCGCTGCAGCCCAGCATCTCCCCAAGGGCTGCCATTGCAAGACCTGGATCCAACAAATCTCCATGGGGTGCCATGGGGTGCCATGGGGTGCCCCGGTGGCTCTTGAGAATCGAAGCCAAGCAGCTTTGATCTTCATCTCCAATGTTTTTGAGCAAGAAATCGGGGTTTTCCAAAAATTCTTCGAAACTCATCCGCACCGCAGACCATGAAGAGGCCTCGAAGAAATCCCATCTCGCTCCAACTATTGAGACTCTGAAACAGACAGTGACCCTTTGGCTTCTGGTTTACGTTTCAGCTGTCCTCTCGTGATGGTGGCGGTAGCTGCAAAAGGTCTACTGTTCAAACACCACTGCACCCAAGCGACAGCAAGGGAATCCGATTGCAAACAGTGCCAGCCTTGGTTCTCTCAAGTGAGAAAGGCTGCTGAAGCTGCTTCAAGGTAGGATGGTCAGCATTTGTTTAAGACATACGGATGCAACAGCAATGTTCGAGAGTTTCAGAGGAGTTGCACATCTGGGCAGCCAGTGGTTTGCACTTAGATATCGTACCTGCAAAGAAGAGAAAAGTCTCAAACTGTCATGCTGGTCATCGCACACAACTGGCGAAAGCAACATGGTACGTCCTATGTCATCCCATGTTTCCGTCCCGTGTCATTGCGTGTCCTCGCCTACAATGAATTGTTGTGGCTCCACAGCTGCATGGATTAAAGTCGTCGCGTGCTGTTCCTCCAAGATTTCTGAGTCCTGTGATGGCAGTGTGGACAAATCGGACCAATTGGACCGCCTCACACCACCGAACCCCCTCTGAAAAATCGCCGTCCTCAATGTCTTGCCATGTGAGGCCGTGTTTCGCCAAGTGGAAAATCAGCGATTTCTTGATTTTCGCCATGGCCTTCTCTTTCTTGTTCTTCTCTTTTGACACATTGTTGAAGTGAATGCCAGCCGCGCGACCACATGGCACCACACAGTACACCAAAAGCGCACAAACAAAGAATACTCCGAGCAGCGCGATGACCGGGCTCAACACATAGTAAAGCGCAGGTGCCATGACTTTCCTGATGAATAGGTTGGATTAGCTAACTGGCAGATATAAATGCTATAAATGCCCCCAGAGTTTTATCTGTGCTTATTATATATGTTTATACTCTTGTGTTAATCCCATTTGGAGAAATCAGCACAACCCGACCACAGTCTGCACGACTCACTGCCCGCCAGTTGACACCAGTTGACACTTTGTCACTTCCAAGCATCGCGCCACGGTCATGAGATATCAAATCCTCTGCGTGGCATTGCATTGTAAACTCCACCGATACCAGTTTGGGCCTTGGAAACTTGAAAGTCAGAGATGGAAACGAGTCTTGGAAATGATCATCCACACTAGCCGCTACCAGCCATGAGCTCCCACATCACCCCCATACTGCAAGGAGTGCTGCAGTAAACTTCAGCGCAGTAAGCTGCCGACACGACTCCCATAATTGCAAAGATGTCCCTCAAGGCATCACTAAATTCCGGTGGCCAAGGAAACTTGATCACCTGCCAGGGGATTGTCCGACTGGATCGATGCGTGACTCTCATTTCACATGCTATGTTATACATATATATATATATACGCATGCATGCATACATACATACATACATACATCACATCACATCACATCACATCACATAACATAACATAACATAACATAACAACATTACACTACATTCCAGTCGATTACAGTATATGTATATATATATACATACATAAATACATATATATATACAATTATATATACATAATATATGTGCATGTATGTATGTATGTATGTATGTATGTATGTATGTATGTATGTATGTATGTATGTATGTATGTATGTATGTATGTATGTATGTATGTATATATGTATATATGTATGTGTGCATATATTGTAGCCCCCTCAGTTGATGCTGAAAAACTTCAGCAGTTTTCCCTCTTTTTTGCTTGTGACTGGCACCGCTGAGCCAACATCGCAGGTCGAGGTCGAATTGCTTGCGGCACAGGCTTCGAGCGCATCTATCCGCTGCTGCCTCTGCACCCAGTCGAAGGCAGGGAGTCGCTGCAGGTTGAACTGAGTGATGACTGAACCTGACATCGCGGGGTCCATTGTTGAAAAACAACCAGATATTGGTAGATATTTGTATGTAAAAGCATTTATCTTCAAAATGAATCATGAAAATACTGAAATATATATCTACAGCCACTGCAACCAATACGGAAGCATGATCCAAAGTCTCTCTCGAACAGTTTTCCTTGCTGCCAAGATTCATGCAGCCAGCCACTGGGAGCCAATACCTCAGGATGACTTGTTTGAAGATCGCGAAGCGGAAGCCGTTCGCTTCCCGAGAGAATATCTGAGTCTCTGAGTATCTTGGAATAGGTATGGAGATATAATTGCATATATTGTATATGTGCGTGTGGCACTAGTATATAAGTCAATGATATCATGTATGCATGTATGTGCCGCAATTCTAGCATAAGTAATTCCAATTCATTCAAGCTGACTGCTTGTAAAACTTTGGAGTAAGCAGTCCGAAATGTGAATTTGGATCCTGACACGTCAATGGGTGGAATCCATCTCACTTGGACAAGAGCTCCGCGGGCAAGGATGGGACCTTTTTACTGGGCTGCAATAGGCTTGGCACATTACCAAATACCAGCGGCTTCAAGCCCACGGGCCCCCAGGTCATGCTACTTCCGCGCATGGCTACTGTGGGAACAGCATTTTGTGTATATGCGTGTGTGTGTGTGTGTGAATGTTTTGTTTTCCTCTGTGATCAGAGAATTCCCGAAGAATCCCCACCTCCAAAAAGAACGCATCTATCCATATATACATATATACATGTATCCGTGGTTGTGTTCATGTAAGCATTTATGTATGTATGTATGTAATGTAATGTAATGTAATGTAAAGTAATGTAATGTAATGTAATGTAATGTAAAGTAATGTAATGTAATGTAATGTAATGTATGTATGTATTAATGTAATGTAATGTAATGTAATGTAATGTAATGCATGTATGTATGTATTAATGTAATGTAATGTAACGTAACGTAACGTAAGGTAACGTAATGTATGTATGTATCTATGTATCTATGTATCTATGTATCTGTGTATCTGTGTATCTATGTATCTATGAATGAATGTATGTATGTCTGTCTGTCTGTCTGTATGTGTGTATGTCTGTATGTATGTATGTATGTCTGTCTGTCTGTCTGTCTGTCTGTCTGTATGTATGTATGTATGTATGTACGTACGTACGTATGTATGTATGTATGTATTAATGTAATGTAATGTAATGTAATGTAATGTAACGTAACGTAACGTAACGTAAGGTAAGGTAACGTAATGTATGTATGTATCTATGTATCTATGTATCTACGTATCTGTGTATCTATGTATCTATGAATGAATGTATGTATGTCTGTCTGTCTGTCTGTATGTGTGTATGTCTGTATGTATGTATGTATGTACGTACGTACGTACGTACGTACGTACGTAGGTGTGTATGTAATGGTATGTAATGGTATGTAATGGTATGTAATGGTATGTAATGGTATGTAATGGTATGTAGTGGTATGTAATTGTATGTAATGGTATGTAATGGTATGTAATGGTATGTAATGGTATGTAATGGTATGTAATTGTATGTAATGGTATGTAATGGTATGTATGGTATGTAGTGGTATGTAATGGTATGTAATGGTATGTAATGGTATGCAATGGTATGTAATGGTATGCAATGGTATGTAATGGTATGTAATGGTATGTAATGGTATGTAATTGTATGTAATGGTATGTAATGGTATGTAATGGTATGTAATGGTATGTAATGGTATGCAATGGTATGTAATGGTATGCAATGGTATGTAATGGTATGTAATGGTATGTAACGGTATGTATTGGTATGTAGCGGTATGTAATGGTATGTAATGGTATGTAATGGTATGTCGTGTCATGTCATGTCATGTCATGTCATGTCCATCATGTATGTGATGCATGTGATGTATGTTATGTATGGTATGTATGTTATGTATGTTATGTATGTTATGTCTGTTGTGTTTGTTATGTATGCTGGTATGCTGTGTATGTTGTGTATGCTGTGTATGTAGGTATGTCTGTATGGTATGGTATGGTATGGTATGGTAGGGTATGGTACGGTATGGTATGGTATGGTATGGTATGTATGTATGTATTGTATGTATTGTATGTATTGTATGTATTGTATGTATTGTATGTATTGTATGTATTGTATGTATTGTATGTATTGTATGTATTGTATGTATTGTATGTATTGTATGTAATGTATGTATTGTATGCAATGTATGTATTGTATGTATTGTATGTATTGTATGTATTGTATGCATTGTATGCATTGTATGCATTGTATGCATTGTATGCATTGTGTCTTCCAAATCATTCGTATGTCTTCCAATTCATTCGTATACCCCAAAAAAAAAAGTCTGAACTCCAATTCATTCGTATGTCTTTCAATTCATTCGTATGTCACTACTACTACTAGTACTGCTGCTGCTGCTGCTACTACTACTACTACTACGGCTACTACTACTACTACTACTACGACTACTACTACTACGACGACTACTACTACTACTACCACTACTACTACTACTACTAGTACTACTACTACTACTAGCACTACTACTAAATTTGGAATGAAGAAACAAGGAAATATACCGCCCCCCCCCCACCAAAGAAAAAATAATAATAATAACTGTGAAATAATGGATCCATTTCCTTCGAACGCTTCCTGATGCATTGTATGCATTGTATGCATTGTATGCATTGTATGCATTGTATGCATTGTATGCATTCTATGCATTCTATGCATTCTATGCATTCTATGCATTCTATGCATTCTATGCATTCTATGCATTCTATGCATTCTATGCATTCTATGCATTCTATGCATTCTATGCATTCTATGCATTGTATGCATTCTATGCATTGTATGCATTGTATGGAGTGTATGGAGTGTATGGACTGTATGGACTGTATGGAGTGTATGGAGTGTATGCAGTGTATGCAGTGTATGTAGTGTATTGTATGTAATGTATGTAATGTATGTAATGTATGTATGTATGTATTAATGTATGTATGTATGTAATGTAATGTAATGTAATGTAATGTATGGATGTATGTATGTACGTACGTACGTACGTAGGTAGGTAATGGTATGTAATGGTATGTAATGGTATGTAATGGTATGTAATGGTATGTAATGGTATGTAATGGTATGTAATGGTATGTAATGGTATGTAATGGTATGTAATGGTATGTAATGGTATGTAATGTTTTGTAATGGTATGTAATGGTATGTAATGGTATGTAATGGTATGTAATGGTATGTAATGGTATGTAATGGTATGTAATGGTATGTAATGGTATGTAATGGTATGTAATGGTATGTAATCGTATGTAATCGTATGTAATCGTATGTAATTTGGTATGTAATTTGGTATGTAATTTGGTATGTAATTTGGTATGTAATTTGGTATGTAATTTGGTATGTAATTTGGTATGTAATTATGTATGTAATTATGTATGTAATTATGTATGTAATTATGTATGTAATTATGTATGTAATTATGTATGTAATTATGTATGTAATTATGTATGTAATTATGTATGTAATTATGTATGTAATTATGTATGTATGTATGTATGTATGTATGTATGTATGTATGTATGTATGTATGTATGTATGTATTTGTATGCATGCATGCATGGATGGATGTATGTATGTATGTACGTACGTACACGTACGATCTATGTATCTATGTATCTATGTATCTATGTATCTACGTATCTATCTATGTATGTATGTATGTATGATATGTATGGTACGTATGGTATGTATGGTATGTATTGTATGTATGGTATGTATGGTATGTATGGTATGTATGGTATGTATGGTATGTATATGTATGTATGGTATGTATGGTATGTACAGTATGTATGGTATGTATGGTATGTGTGGTATGTATTGTATGTGTGGTATGTTGGGTATGTATGGTCTGTATGGTATGTATGTATGTAATGTAATGTAATGTTATGTAATGTAATGTAATATAATGTAATGTAATGTATGTATGTACTGATGTAATGCAATGTAATGTTATGTTATGTTTTGTTCTGTTATGTATGTTTGTATGTTTGTATGTATGTATGTGTATATGTGTTTATATGTGTTTATATGTGTTTATATGTGCGTATATGTGTGTATATGTGTGTGTGCATATTACACAATATATGTACGTATTTACAAACATATAACTCCCGTCACTCCAGATATCTATCAATCTACATCTTCGGGCTTCCATCGCAGATTCGATTCCACCCCCCAGGTGGTTGAGCACCATGGTTCGGTCAGGTCGTGCTGACAGGCAACGGATCATGCTGATGTGAAGCTTCGAATTGCCCTTCACTGCCGAACTGGCAGCCAGCGCTGCAACCACAAAGCCCAAAAACGCCCTGACGAGAAGGTCCAGGAGAATTTCTACCTCGGCTCTCTTCGGCAAAAATGATGAAAAAATGGACAATGAATGACTCGCTGACTCGCTCCTGCAAGACAGAATCTGTGACACAAACTCAAGTCAGCAAAGAAGTGTTGATGCCATTCTGAGATGCTGCAAGCAGTGAGGCAGACTCCTTCTGGCACTGCCCGCATGGCTCTGGGTACTTGTCTCTGGACCAATCTCGGGCACATTCACCACACGCCACCCCAGTAGAGCCTCTCCAGCCAGCCACCCAAAAGTAAGGTGGTCTTGTGGGCAGATCGTGTCACATCTCTTGACATGATTAGTCTCTCTCTCTCTCTCTCTCTCCATATGCAACAAATGGTATTCCACCTAGCACGAGGTCGAGCTTCATCCAAGACCCCGCCTTCAACACAAGCGTTTCCTCAGTTAATGCAATAAGGTCGTGGAGGCTTACACCCAACCTACAAACAATATTAAAGTATAAAAAACATTAAAGGTATATATATATGTGTGTGTGTATGTAAGTATGTATGTATTCTGTACACCAGCCCCCAAAAAGATAGAAATGTGAAATCCTAGTGAAATATTGATGAAATTCTATCTGATTGAGGGTTACAACGCTTTTGACAAGCAAATTAGTCTATGGATTGGGACAACGGGCCAAGAAATCTGGGATTAGCCACATACAGGCAATGACTTGAGTCCGTAACTGGGTAATGTATCATGGATTTCACCAAACCTCGTGCAGCATGGACCCAAGATAGCACTTGACTTAACATTTCAGTCACACATGTTTCCCCGGGAACCGCTGGAAGTTCATTTTCGCGATTGCCATTTGAGGAGACGTGATGATATTCTTCGGTCATCAAATGCAACACACTTAATTGACATCAGCACGCTCACCAGAGGCAAGCTTAACATCGCGCAGGGTGGGTGCAAAAGATTCTAAGCAGTGATTCCCATACGAAGGGAAACCAATCAAATCAATATTCAACACCTAAGGCTGCAGCAAGCCGTGCGGTGACAAACCTAGCTCCCCACTGCAACTGACCGCAGAACTCTGGCCATGGATAGTTGTCGAACTGGTTGCATCATTGTGTGGCGCGGGAGGCAGGGCGATTCTCCAAAAAGAAGTTGTAGCTGATTGTAGCTGCTGTTGTCCTCCCGTTCTTCTTTTTAGTTGTTATTTCGCTACCTCCTTTCTTGCTTTCCTGGTTCAGTTGCTTGGTACCTACGCTGCGCCTGGCACCTGGCAGCGGCACAGTGTATGGAAACATGTGGAAACCCCTGGCTCCAAAGCAAAAACAAGGTAACACGGCTTTTCGCAACCCTGCGTTTTTTCTGTTCAATGTACGACAACGCATCATGTTTTGCTACTTCATGAATTATGTGTTCGGATCATTTGACGACCAAAAGTTTAAGCTGTATCTTTTTCCATCCTTTCTTCATTTTGTCGCTCAGTTGTCACTTTGCCAAATTCTGCCAAAATTCATAGCAGATATCATAACTGCATAACGTAGCATCAATCAGCAGCGTGTGTGTGTGTGTGCAAGCAAACATGAATGTTAATGCCCCACCCCACCCCACCCAGCTAGCATCATAACAAAAATCACATCACTCCCAGGGTTGTGGAAACACTTGCACTCGTGCACCCTCCAGCAGCACCTTGTGTGGCAGTGTGTAAGAAGAATCAAATAGGTGCCGCTTTCTGTTGAAAAAAATAACTTGTCGAGTATGATCAATAGAAACAAGGCTCCGAACGTGCCATGGCAGGCCTCTGGGGCTGGCAAGCCCAATCTTTGTGCCAGACAAGGGCTTCCACCTTGACAAACGCTTGACCCATCAAGTAGCAGGATGTTGCATTCCACCGCTGACGTCCGTCCAGTCTGGTAAAAGCCAGGCCTCATTGTCATCTTACTGGTGCTTAGTAGGGAATGAGTGAATGATCCACTGGCTAACTATCAATAATCATCCCAGCAACCCCCAGCAACCCATCCATTCCCTACTAAGCACCAGTAAGTCATTGTCATTTGTCAACCGCTGACTACTCTGGTTCGGTTACAAACCCGCTGGTATCATCAATCCAACACCTGGAACATCATTTGCTGAAAAAGCCAAGCTGCCCCGCAAACGGCTGGCTGTGAACCTTTGGAAATGTCGCGGTCACATTGGTCGCGTTAGGGTCAACAAAGCCACCCTGGCAAATCATCCCCGAGTATGTGCAGGCGATGCAAGTTGCCAGCTGGCCATTCTCATCCATATTTGCGTGGAATTCGGGCATGCAGAAACAATCATCCAGACTAGTGGAGGCAAGCTCGCTGTCTGCGTTCGTCGGACAAGTCAGGGCACATTCTCCGTTCCCAATTTCTGGTTTGTACTGCCCTCGTGGACAGGGCTGGCAAAAAAGTGAAGGCGAAGCGAAGTAGTGTCCCTCCAGGCAAATGCAGTCTGAAACCGAGGAGCCCTGTGAAAGTGTCGTTGAATGCGCTGGGCAAGCTATAGCATCTGGTCCACCAGGACAGTAGAAACCAACTGGACATGTTGAACAGTTGCCAAGATCGTCTCTGTAGAGACCAGTCTGACAGGAAGCGAGCTTCAACACGGGCACAATCACAACGCTGCATGATGAGTGAATGACATCTTTGATTGTAGGATGCATGACACCCAACTACAATTGCGGGTGGACTGACAAAATCATTATTTAAAACCCCTGGTGACTGGTGCATTCGATTCCTGTCTTCGTTTTACTACATTCAGGCAGGGGACTTCGCAGTCACACTGCTGAAGGGAGGTGGCGCCAAGACTGAATGTGGTTGTGAGGTCCGGGCATTTCCCACAAATCGCGTCACCAACAATCTCCTGCAGCAAGATCTGGTGGCGAGGAAGGGAGGGCATGCCGCACTGGATGCGGAACCCCAAGTCTCCAATTCATGTTGAATATTTTGCCCATGTACAGCAATCATAATGACAACAGACAGTAGTGTTGTAATGTAGGCATACGTTTTTGCATCATCACCACCCCAGAACTTTAACTGAACACAATCGTCGGAGCCGAAGCAGGATGCCAGGAGGCTTGCACTATTCGCCTTTGCCTTCGTATTTGACTATACTTGCACTTCACCCGGTGATGGATTGGATTCAAGATTATATTTGATCTTGGCGACTGCATGATCAACTCTCTCTCTCTCTTTTTCCAGGAAATTCTTCCGGAGCAAGTTCTGGACCTTTGCCTTCATCTGCTTATATACATATATATATACATATACATATGCGTGTGTGTGTGTGCGTGCGTATGTCTCTATATATATATATATATACATACCTGTTTGTGTGTGTGATATATATATATATATATGTTGGCTATGTGATTTAGCCCTCCATGCAGGCATTTTGCCGTTGATGACACATGGCTGCTCATTGGTTGCTTGGTTGCTTACTTGCTTGGTTCGTTGCTTCTGACCTAGGGCCCGCAGTTTCTGTACCAGTTCATGTTGACCAGTTTTACTTTGCTAGTCCAGCAACTGGTAGTGAGTAGCGATATTGACTTTGGAAGGAAATTGCGTGCATTGCTTACACAGTTCTCGTTGCTTCTTACTTTGTTGGTTAAACGCTGAGCGAATTAGCTTGCCACAATTACACTCCCGTAGCTGAGTAAAATGCGGTACTCACAGCGCTGCGAGACAACCTCCCCGAGCTTCACACCTTGTATTCACCTAGACGGCAGGGATCACAGATCTGTGCTGCGAGATCGTAGCCATATCCAATGCTGCAGCGACAGTCAGCTGCACTCAATACCGGGACACCTGAGGCAGCTGACTGTCAAAATGCGTCAAAAATTGTCCAAAGAACAGTTTACCGGTTCCAGGCTCATGTATTATGATATGATATGAGATGAGATGAGATGATATGATGTGCAATCCCTGATATATATATATAGATAGCGAGTAGCTTGGCACCCCCGAAGTAATCATCAACCAAGCATCATACATCTTATCACTTATATACTTATACCCCCATATTATGGTTTAAAGTTTAAAGCCCTGTTATAAACGATGGTTCAATCCCCCTTAAACAATCTCTACCATCCCGCTGTCGAAAGCCACGCCTGGAGGTACAGATTGATACCGAGGGCATGTCACAAGGACAGATGTGATAGCTACATCTGTCAAGGGAGCCACTTCGAGACCCATCGCCCCTAAGGTCCTTAGCTTGTGAAAGGACTGGTGGCAGCTTCCAAAGCATGTTCTGGATGGGATCCGAGAAACATGCGAACTATCGACCAAGATTCGGATGCGCGGCCACTTCCGCAGATACTTCATTTGAGATGGTGACTACCTGGGTGGAAAAAGTCGAAGGTGTCAATTCTGGCCAGATTGTCTTTTTTTTTTGGGCCAGGGCCTCTCTAAGGTATGCAAATGTTGATATGTTCAAGTCTCCAATGTTTTTGAGGAAAGAATTTGCAAAGAAATGTTCGAGGCATCCGTGCAACATCCCCCTTGCAGCTTCCGCTCAGCTGCGTCAATGTCAGCCGCGGTTTGCGCGGCTTCCTCCGCTGTGCGCTGCTTGAGCGTAATCACCACCACCGGCGCGCTGGCCACCAGCCGTCTCCCACTCGATTCGTTATTGGCGGTCGGGATCACTAGGCCAACAATGTCCTTATTTTGGTGTTGCCACTGGGAAAGGCCAAACTGCAAACAAATGGAAAGAACAAAAATCATCAGAAACACGTTTTGAGTTTGCTTTCAAATGGGTCATGAAGTCCAATCTGTAAAGCTCCTCATCTTCTGGGCTCCGAATCTTTAGCAATAAAAAAATAAAAATAAATATATACATTATATACATAAATATAATTAAATATATCTGTTCATGGTGTTTCACCACATTTCAATCATTTTCAATCAATATACAGTATTTCACCATATTTCAACAACGCATCTCAGCGAGTTCACCCCAAAACGCCAAGATTCCACCTGCACAGCATCAGCAGAGAGCCTTGCAGTGGCCGAGAGGCTTTTTCTGAAAATCGCCTGAGTCGCCGTGGCGCGGTTCCACCAATCCAAGAACCCTGAGATCCACCATGGAATTTCACTTTGTGTACTGATCAATTAGATGTGATGTGAGTAGATTATTGATTATGAAAACAATGCAATATTAAGCATATGATAATTATATATCATGTATTTGTTTCATATGATTTCACTGCTAACGGCAAACAAACCACGAGAAGCAAGTATCTATGGAAACAGGCAAGTGTGCACATGTGCAGTGTTGCCTGACAGAACACAAACACAGCAATTATATAGATGCAATTAGTAGCTTGTACCGGTATACCAAGGAGTTTTGAGTCCCTGCAATTGCTTTCTAGCACGCTACATGAAACCGCTCGTGAAGACAAAATGGAAATAGAAATGCGTCAAGCCTTCGAGCTCAAGAACTTCAAGTAAACATGTGTTCCAACTGAGTTCGACCTGTTCCGAAGTCTACGCGGAGCAGGACACCATAGGACACCAAAACACCAATCAAAAGGCCATAAAAATCGATAAAACATCATGTCGAACATGAGGCAAGTTGCGATCACTTGGACTTTTAGCGAGTCAACATCCGACGTGACTGGAAAGTTGCCCAAAGACATGTTGAAGGTAAGTGCAGGCACATCGGATTCATTCTGCGCAGAAGGAACCACTGAGGAACTCTCCCCATCTGACCCGTCTGTACCCACAGTGCTGTTGGACGAATTGCTATCGATTGAATCATTTGCACTTTGGTTGTCTGATCCGTTAGAACTTCCGTCAGCGTCCTCAGAGTTTCCGTTTCCGTTTCCAGAGCCCGAAGTGGCCCCTGTGGACCCTGTGGCCCCAGCAACGCATGAATAGGCAGACACAGATGCAGTGTCATAGGTGATCAAGCTGGAAGGACAAGGCGTGCACGCTTCCAGGTTGCCAGGCTGCGACTTGTAAGAATTCAATTCGCAGGCCACGCACGCACTGGATGCCACATCGAGGCGGAAGCCACGATCGCAAAGGCAGGCATCGATTGTGACCTGAAACTCACGACGTCTGGAACAAAATCACAACAACGACAAGCACAGCCAACACGACCACAGGGAATGAATCTCTTTGAAGAATCAGAGTCTCACCTGAAACGGCTTGGTGCGAAAAGCATCAAAGGATAACAGATCCAAGAGCCATAGACAGTTGCAGCCAAGGATCAGAACCTTTGCTTAAAGTTGTTCTTCCATCAACACAGGATACTCTTGCCGCTATCTCAGGTCGTCCCCCAGCACAGTAGAATCCCCGAGTGCAGCTTTCGCAGGTTTGGCCTCAGAAAGTCCGAGCAAACTCATTTCTGATTCCTACTTACTGCCTCCTATCTGTCTCGCTGCAAAAACTAGACAAGAGCATCTCATGACTATCAGCCCGCCTGTTGATGGTCCAACAGCAAAGGTTCCAGGGGGGCAATCAACTTGTAGAAGACCAGCAGGTGCTCGGAAAAGAGCTGGACTTGTACAAGCAGCACTTTTGGGACACCAACATATGGAATACAGCCCTGGGTTTGCAGAGATGGGCAGCTCCCCCAGCAGAACTTGCAGACCACTTGCTGACTGCTCCAGTGGCACAGGATCCTGCAGTTGTGTGAAGCCAAGCTCGCTCAGCGCATTGGAACTACCACATGTGCCGCTGGTAAAGAAGAGTTGGTCACCTACATCCAAGCCGATACCAGACATATCAACGGTGCAATTGCTACCTAGCTGGCACTCAGTAGTGGAATCAAACGGGCCACTGGCTGTCATCAAGCCGACCCTTGCTTGGAATCCAACTGCCGTTCCGCAAGTGTCTCCAGCTGGCCTGCAAAAACATATCCGGAAAATCCCGGCCACGGACAGAATGACACTACTTACGTTTCCCACGAATGCAAAGTTATTGCCATCAGCAGTTTCAAGAATGCCACTGGATGGAAGACCAGGAATGGCATTTCCTCTACCACAGTCTGAGAGAATCATCAGGCGATCTCCACTTTGCATGCTAACCCCGCGAATGCCTGTCACGCTGCACTCCTGTCCAACTGCACAAGCGCTCTCCTGATTCGTGTTTGGCCCTGTAACTCTCAGGCGCCCAGCATAAACAGCAAAATCAGCTGTGGCACACGCAGTGTTTGATCCTCTCTCGCTTGCGCACCAGCACAGGAAGTAGCCAGCATTGCTTGCGTCGATGTAGAGGTGGTAGTCATGATCATTGGTGGAAACTCCAAAGCCCAGTACCCAATCTGTGCCACTCGCTTGCAAATCCCCGAGACCATTGACATTTGAAATGGAGATCTGCTCAGCAACACTGCGGCCACATGCATCCAGCCTGACCGCAATTTGGTCACTTGCAAGCAGGTCGTATCCACTAAAGGCCAAATCAGTGCAATCAGAACCTCGTAAACATTCAAGCTGGTTCGCGAACGGGCCAGTCACAAGCAGTTGTCCTGGTGTGATGACAAAGTTGCTATTGAGGTTGTCACATGTCAGGATGCCCATGCTGGCACACCAGCACAAGTTGTAAACACCACCTAGAGGAGTGAAATCTGTGTAGACATCACCCCACTCATAGCTACCGCCGTTTTGAGTTGCAGCTTTAGAGATTCCGCTGCTGATGATGCCTGACACTGCAAGCTTTGCATCACTGCAGGCTGAAGAGGTGATCGCCATGCGGTGCCCATCCTGCAGACTGGATCCAGCAATTCCATCAATGGCACATGTCCTGCCGGAAATGCATGTCTTGCTGTGTGAAGCATTTGGCCGAGCACAAAGTGCTTCACTGTCAGCAGCGGGCAGTGCTGTAGTGGATCCTGAGACGCAGGGTACACACGCAGACATCAAACTTGCAGCTGCCGTGTTGCCCCAGGTGCCAATTGGGCACAGCACGCACGAATCCACGGAAGTTGCAGCTGGATTGAGCGAATAGCGACCCGCTGGACATGGGTCGCAAGTTCCAGCCCCTGCAGTGGCAAAGCGTCCTGCTTCACACTCATCGCAAGTTGCCTGGCCTTCGCTTGCAGAGGTGCCGGCTGCGCAAACTGAGCACTGGGCATTTCCAATTAGAGATTTGTATTTCCCAGTAGCACATGCCTGGCAAGCTCCAGAGCCTGCATCGAGAAAACCAGGAGCACACAAGCACTCTGTGATGGAGCTGGCAGCCTCATCCACCGTGGTTTGTGACTCATTGCATGCTCCCCTGTTTTCTTTGTAAGGGCAGTAGAATCCTAAGCCACAAGGCTGACAGCTAGATGGATTCATGGGGTCATCATTGAAAGAACCAGCAGGGCAAATGTAGGTACATGCCGAGTATGACATTGAACCTTCTTGCAGCGTTGTTAACGGCTTGGGTGTCGTGGGGCAAGCTACACAGCTGGTATCTCCAACAGATGATTTGTATTGACCCAGTGGGCAGGGCACACACCCTGCTTCCAATCCAGAGGCCCCGGAAACCGCAGGTTGCTTGCCATGAGGGCACGTGCAATCGTTCAGATCTATGATGGGATGACCCTCTTGCAAGCCAAGACCAGCTGGACACTGTAGCAAAACGCTGGCTACCTCCGAGCAGCTCACCAACTGAGCTGAATCCAAGGCAGTCCCTGTCATGCCTGCAATCCATACTTGAAATGGAATAGGATCAAATTTGTCCTGCAATATGTATGCTACTCCTCTGTCTGAACTCCATCCAATAAAATCGACATACCAATTGCTCGCCTCAAACGTGACGCTCAGTTCCAGCCGTGCTCTTACGCTGGCCATATCGAGAAGCTGATGCAACCAATCCTCAATCTCAAGGAAGAGTGCTTCAGTAGATGCATCTTGGACTTGTAAGGACCCATTGAAGGAGTATACAGTGGCAGCTACTGCCAAAAACACATCCCTTTCACTAGAATTGCTGGAGAGGGTTTCCAAGTCTGTGCATTCGAAGCTTTCCAACGCTGAATCGGTGTCAATAGAGTTCCCAGAACAGAAACATTCCCAAACATTTGCGGCACCACCAGAAGAAGTTGTCAGGCTTGGGCATATTTTCCCACACCCAGAAGCTCGGCCAATCCAGTCTTTGTACTTACCAACTGGGCACGCCAAGCATGCACCTACAGAATCATCCCAGTAGAAACCACCTCTGCAAAGACAGTCTGTAGAAGCCACCGACTGACGCATGGAAACGCTCCCTGCAGGGCAAGGACTCAGATCAGCTGGCCAGCCCCCGGCGCAGTAAAACCCAGCGGGACATTCCTGGCATTGGGTTGGAGAGCCTGGAACAACTTCAAGTTCGTAGAAACCTGGGGGGCAAGCCACGTAAAACGTCATCGCCACCTGTCGATAATTTGTAGGGTCATCGCATCCGCTGGACCTGGCTGAACACCAACAGAGCTGAAGGGCTTCTGGGTTGTTGCTGCTGTTCAGTTCCAAGTAACCCAAATCGAAGTGATAAGTACCAGTTGTGTCGTTGACTGTTCCAGGAACAATCACGGGTTGAGGAAAAGTACGGCTAGGAACCACTCCAACACAATCTGTAAGGGCTAGAAGCCGGTCCCCGCTTGCCAGGCTGACTCCTCTCAAGTCTGCCGCATTGACAATGCATTGCGCCCCCAATACGCACTGATGAGACTGACCTGAATACGGCCCAGTGGCAATCAGCAGTCCTGCAGCCACAATAAAGTCACTGGGCTGGTCACACTGGGTGTAGCTGCTGGGACGACACCAGCAGAGTCTGAAAAACCCAGGGTATGACTCCAAGTATGGGCTGTACTCCACTCCTTCAAAGTCAAAGATGTAACCATCAGCCGTGACTGCGATTCCTGTGCCAGGCAGACCCAGAAGGAAACCACCCTGGCCACAGCTCTCCATTGCCGAGACTTTGTCGTATGCCTGCAAACTGATGGCCCCCTCACTGGGCAATTCTGGTCTACACAGTTGCCCCAGAAAGCATTCAACTTCGGCTCCAGTGCCAGGGCCCTCAATTTTGACGGATGCAGCCTTTGCTTCCAAATATACCGTGCTGGGGGAACCTTGTGTTAGATTCATGTCACTGCAACTCTGCCCTTTGGACGAACACCAGCAAAGCACATAGTTTCCAGCAGGTACAGGCGTTCCACCGATAATATGATCCACACCTATGTACATGTCAGGATCGCCTTGCAGTCCAGGTTGTAGAGACACAGTGGCCAAAACCGAAACATCTGCACCGTCTAAACTCCGTGCAGAAGCTAAGCTGCATTGATTCCTCACCCAGACTTGATCCCCTGCGGTGAAGCCAGCACCAAGGATTGGGCCCTTGTTGATGCAAGGTTGACCCTTGATGCAGCTGAGCTCCTGCCCGTCATATGGGCCAGAAACTGCTATAGTCCCTGCATCTACAATATAATCGAACTCTGAGCTACAAGTTGCTGATAGCCCTCCGCACCAGCAAACTCGGTAGTTCCCAGGTTGCGCTGTCAGAGCTCCTGACCAAGAGTAGCTTGTGCTGCCTGTTACAGATTTGCCAGTTCCATCCGTTCCAAAGCCCGATACTTTTGCAAATGCTGACAAGTCAAACTGGAGCCTCCTTCCACTGCCATAGGTGCCTGTGCTTCCACTGCCGTAAGTGCCGGTGCTTCCGCTGCCATAGGTGCCAGTGCTTCCAGTGCCATAAGTGCCTGTGCTTCCGCTGCCATAAGTGCCGGTGCTTCCACTGCCATAGGTGCCGGTGCTTCCACTGCCATAGGTGCCTGTGCTTCCACTGCCATAGGTGCCGGTGCTTCCACTGCCATAGGTGCCTGTGCTTCCGCTGCCATAAGTGCCGGTGCTTCCGCTGCCATAGGTGCCGGTGCTTCCACTGCCATAGGTGCCGGTGCTTCCACTGCCATAGGTGCCGGTGCTTCCACTGCCATAGGTGCCGGTGCTTCCACTGCCATAGGTGCCTGTGCTTCCACTGCCATAGGTGCCTGTGCTTCCACTGCCATAGGTGCCGGTGCTTCCACTGCCATAGGTGCCGGTGCTTCCACTGCCATAGGTGCCTGTGCTTCCACTGCCATAGGTGCCGGTGCTTCCACTGCCATAGGTGCCTGTGCTTCCACTGCCATAGGTGCCGGTGCTTCCACTGCCATAGGTGCCTGTGCTTCCGCTGCCATAGGTGCCTGTGCTTCCAGTGCCGTAACTGCCGCTGCCAGTGCCGTAGCTACCGCTGCCAGTGCCATAGCCGCCGCTGCCAGTGCCGTAGCTGCCAGTGCCAGTGCCGAAGCTGCCGGTGCCAGTGCCATAGCCGCCGGTGCCAGTGCCGTAGCTGCCAGTGCCAGTGCCGAAGCTGCCGGTGCCAGTGCCATAGCTGCCGGTGCCAGTGCCGTAGCTGCCACCGCTGCCTCCGTAGCTGCCTCCATAGCTGCCACCATAGCCACCATAGAGGCCGCCACCGTAGTCAGGCATACAGAGCTGAGCCTTCACCATCAAGGAGTGATTGTTGACAAGGCCAGTTCCAGAAAAATTGGAAATAGAACATGGCTTTCCAACCACGCACTCAAAGGACTGATTGGCTTCGGGCACAATGCAGTCATCAGCACTGCTTGACCCCTCTGTCAATGTAGTCGATCCTGGACACATTGTGCAGGACCAGCTGTCCAGGCCAAGAACGTCACTGTATTCGCCAATCGGGCATGCAGTGCAGGAGCTGGCACCACCAACACTATCATACCTTCCCTTTTCACAAAGGGAGCAGGAAGAATTTCCTGGCAAGGCATACCTGCCTGCCATGCAAGGCATGCAGTATGAGCTCAAACCCATATAATCCACCGCTGGAACCTCTCCCCCACCGCACTCGCCGCAAGATTGTCCCGACGGCGAATAAGTTCCATCAGGGCATGCTTCGCAGCTTGTCTTGTCAGAACTGCTTTGCTCTCCTGGGAAGCAATAGTCGCACCACAGGGCACCCGCAGCTGAGTATGTGCCCGCATCACAGTCGACGCAAGCTGTGTCCAAATGATCTTTCTTCTTGCCTGCTGGGCACATGTCACAGTAGTTTTGCGCTGCATTGGCGTACGTGCCCTCTCCGCAGCTAGAGCACTCAGAACTGCCATTGGTGGAGACTTTCCCAGAATCGCACTGGGTGCATTGAAAAGACCCTGCGCTCGAATAGTAACCTCCATAGCAGCCGCTGCAGCTTTCACTTCCCTCGGCAGCAAAAGTGCCGGCAGTACAGGTTTCGCACGTGGAGCTTCCACCAAACGCTGCTCTGCCACGCGGACATGATGTACAGCTGGTCGATCCAGCTAAGCTGGACCTTCCTGCAGGGCAATTTAGACAATCAGTGGCCGCCGAGCTGGAACTGGCATATGTTCCAGCGTAGCACTCATAGCACTCACTAGAATAGCCAAAAGCCTCATACCGGCCGCTCGGACATGCCCGGCATGAGCCCATTGCTGAAAAGTAGCCAGCAGAACAACCAACGCAAGTGATGAAATCGGAATCTGGCCCATAGCCGCTTGAGCACTGCTCGCATGATGTAGAGCGCGACCACTCAGCATGCCCTGAGGTGCATGACGTGCATTGTGTGCTGCCGAATGCGCCGCTGAACTGCCCGGGTGGACAATCGGAACACCCACTTGCACCAGAAAGGTTGGAGGCAGTTCCAAGAGGACACAAGGCACAAGACAACTCCAGGATGTGTAGCCTCCAATCACTTCCATCGTCTTCCAAGTATTTACCAGGAGCACAGTCAGTACAATTCGTGGAACCTGGAACGTCCGAATATTTCCCCGAAGGGCATATCTCGCAAACACCTGCATTCTCGAAATATCCGTCACCACCTTGGCGGAGAGGAAATAGGTCCACTTAGTCACTAGGTTTCTGTCATTTTCTTTCGGTTTTCGCCTCTTTCGCCTCTATCCACCTGTTCTGTTTCCATTTGCCCTTTCTCTTGATTTGTTTCTTTTCTCACTGCCCTCAGACTTCGTCGTCATTTCACTCCAATATTTTGGTGATCATGATTGTTCCCATCGCTTCTCTTCCTCCTTTGTTTATGTCTTTTCCTCGTGAAAAATTCATGACATTGAACCCACATGAGGAAAAAAATGCAAGGGCCATTGCCCCAAGGTATGCGCCTTTACGTTTCCATGTGGCCAATTGAGCACTGAGGCTGACACATATCTGGCACCTCATTTGGCAAGTCAAGACGCTGAATCTCTCCAGAATCTTCATGCTGTTCATAGTCTTTCAAGGGCCTTTTGCCCAAATCCGTTGCTGCTATGACACTCTGCAAGTTGCACATCCAGCTGGTAGCCACCACAGCACACATCACCTCCTGTAGACTCACTTCCTGAGATGTTGCGCCAGAAGTTCGGCCACGTCATCAGGCAGTTCAAAAACATCACAAACTCAACAATCAATCGTGGCAAACAAGAGGTTTGGCTGCCAAACATTGCAGAGAGAGACTTCCCTTGTTTTGCAGTTGGGAATCCAGCCGGACAAGTCAGGCATTCCGTGGAGCCTGTCTGTGGCTGATACTTCCTCAGATGTTCATCAGGTGTCAAATTAAAATCCTAAAACTCACAGCACAAAGAGGCATAGACTCAACTGATCTCAGTTGCACATTTCGGACTTTTTTTGTTGTCAAAGCCATGTCTCCCTGCTGGGCAAGTAGAGCAGGATTTGTACGACTCCAAACGCTGAAACTGTCCAGACGGGCAATCCGTGCAAACCCCATCCTTGGATCTTTGCCATCACCGAACGAAAAACACCCAAGCGTTCAGTCACTTCAGTCGTCCAGTGCTTCCTTGACTTCCTTGACTCCTAATTGTTCGTCTTCGACTCCGGATTTTGTGTCAAACGTTCAAGACTCAAGACTCATCTTTTACGAATCCAGCACAATATTTTGCTTAGGTCAGCACAAGTTGTTGGCCAACTTGACAATAGTAGCAGGGAAAGCACAGGAAGCAGGTCCTTATTCAAAGCTCATGCCAATCAGGCCTCACCCATAGGAGTTGGTGTACAGTGTAAAATTGGCAAATGGTGACATCCTACCCATTGGATTTCATGCGTAGGAACGTAGGAACTCGTGTTGAGCAGGATGAAGATTCAATGGTTGGACAACGGTTGGACTAGAGTCTAGAGACTCGCCTTTACATTCTTCCCCCTGATTTGCCAAGCTTCTCTGAAGTCGTTCCTGCCACCTCAGCAAATTGGGGTCAAACGACTGAAGCTTATTTTTGGCAGGTTTGGTTCAAGATTCAAGATTAAAACATATTAAAACGCAGAGCGTTTCACACAAGCAACGTCCGTTTCACTCTACAAGAATCTCACATGTGTCATCTGCATCATCTCTTGATATTATTCACTTGGCTAGGTGATAAGGGCAACTCATAAATGTCCACCTTGCTGTCATCAAATGACTCTGTGACTCCTGCGTGTTGAAATCTGGCAAAAGCATCTATGATGTGTTTTACCTTGAACGCATGCAACAAAGTCTCTTGTCATGTGTCTGTTGCAGGCACCTGCTGCTTGCTGGGAACAGGTTAGTGTTGGACTGGCATTTAGAGCTATGGGTTTGTACAGATCAAAGTTGATGAAAGGTCGAATATTTTTTGTGTAGTACTGCTCAGTTCAACCGCTGTCTCCAAGAAAGGCATCCAGGGAGGACGCTCAGTGGTTGGTGCGACCTTCTCCAGAAGCATCCAGAGAGAGAGGTACCAAGTCAGGTCAGGCTTGAAAGGCAAAACCAAATGAATTCATCCAAACTGGGTTAAGACCACTTGATATACCCATTACATCCCATTACTAACCATCATTGCCAAGTCACCTTCATCGCAAAAGCATCCAGCGACCCAGCATTGGTTCCACTCCAGGCTCCAGCTGTGTTGCCAGCCAGGATGAGATTTCCAGCACGGTCAAAGCCAGCTGCTTTTCCGGCGTCATCCTGGTCGGTGCCTCGTTGGATGCCAGACTCCAGTAACCCATCACTCGAGAGTTTCACCGCCAACACATCCCATCCGCCAACGGCTGAGAAGCCATCGATATCTCCAAGTGTTTCACCAACTAAGAAGATCTTGTCAGAAGCATCGATCCCAATGGCGTGCATCGAATCATCATCAGTGGTTCCTCCTTGCCATGACCAGACTGAGGCCCCACCAGCAAGCTGCAGCTTCATGGCAAAAGCATCCTGGCCCCCGCTGTTCATATGCCCATCCACCGAACCATCCGTGGTGCCAGCCACAACAGGGAAGCCTGATGAATCGAGACGCAGCCCCGCGAGATAGTCATTCCCAGTGCTTCCAGATTGAAAGGTCCATTGTGGGACCCCTTCGCTAGTTAACTTCATGACAAATATGTCAGCACCACCAAGAGATGCGGAACCCATTATGCCATCAGTGAAGCCCGCCACGAAGATGTATCCAGACAAATCTATTTGAACAGCATCGGCAGAGTCATCGGAATCAGATCCAAACTGCAGCTCCCAAGACACTGAGGATCCTGCAGCGTTCAGTTTCATGACAAATGCATCCCTCATACCAAGGGTACCAAACAGGTCGCCGTCAGTGTAGCCTGCTAGAACTATATCCCCGGAGGCATCTGTGTGAACAGCGCATGCTGCATCATCAGAGGTGCTTCCTTGCTGGTATATCCACTGCTGGGATCCGACGCTGTCCAGCTTCATGGCAAAATAGTCCTTGTCTTGGGCAGGCTTAAAACTTCCGTCCAAGTTTTTCGTGGCGTAGCCGGCTATGATGATGCTACCAAAAGCATCAATGTTCAAAGCAAGAGCAGCATCCTCACCGCCGCTATTAAAGGTGACGCTCCACAGCTGGGCCCCTGCACCATCAAGCTTCGTAACAAGAATCTTAAAGTCGGTCTCCCCAGCCAAATGAACGCCATTCAGAGAATCTACCTCAATGGCATTCACAGAGTCATCGCCCAGGCTTCCGGTCTGCATTGTCCAGCCTTCCCACTGAGCCTGCAGGGTGCACTGAAAAAAAGGTCCGAATGGTGCCCAGAAGTGGGTTGTCAAGTAAAGAGATGTTACTCATCCGGCCAAGTAGGCACCACACCCCACAGAAACTTTGGCTGAATCAAAAATCCAACGACAAACGGGAAGAAACGGCACCTGAGAGCAGCCAGGAGAAGAGACATCCGTGACATCTGCGCAGCTAGAGCCACAAGTTCCAAAGAGGATATCTGCTGAAACCTCCTCAATGACTGTTCCGTACCTCTGCAAGGGCCACAACAATTTTTGGAGGGCAGAAGTTAAACGGAATCCACTAAGAATGATTAGTAGGTAGGATGTTAGCAATCCACTAAAAAATTATTAGCAATTAGTAGCTTAGTAATGCACAAAAAATGATTAGTAGTGAGTAGAAAAAAATCCAGGGCCAACATGTGGTTGGAAAATCAATGATCAGCAGGGCCATTAGTCACTAGTGAGGCACCACGACATGAAAACACCCCGCACTGATGGGCCATGGGAGTCAGCAACTGGCCGGCAAAAACACAGCAGGTGCTCTGACTTTGCAAACAAAGTGCACATTGATAGTAGTGCTTTGGCTGAGATCTGCCCAAATGTCGCTGGAAGATAGGGCAGTGTTGTTTCTGAAGATCACATCAAAGAAGTCAATTTGCACAGTTGATGGCACTTCAAGCCGGAGTGCCCCACCTTCGCGGAGTGTCGAAATGAAAGTCACAGCTGAGTTTGCCTTTTTGATGGTTTGCCTCTGGACCTCTTGGACACTTGTTTCAGCAACTGTTCAAGTCTGCGCCTTGGCCAGCCATGGCACCTTGCCCAATAAACCAGCACTTGTGGAAAGTGTAGGGCCCAACTGCTGCCTGAGCCACCAGGACATCTGTAGTCACCAGCTCCGGGCTCCCAGCAGCTACCAGCTGAAGCTCTGAGGCTCAGACGGTACCAGTAATGTGTCCAGCACCACCACCAACTCCTCCCACACTGTTAGCTTCAAACAAGCAATCCTCGAAGACGAGGGACGTGGCATCCGTGGAGTGCCTGAAAAGGAAGGAAGCGATGAAAACACCCCGCCATGCACACTGCTGGCTGCGAACAAGCGGCAGAACACCACCGCTGTCTGATGCATAATTGTTCCTGAGTTGACCACAAAAGTCAAAAGATTGCTTGTCTGCTAGGCGAAGCGGTTCGTTTCAACTGCAAACCTGAGGCTGACTGACCAGCGCCCCGCAAAAAAACAGTGGCCAAGATTCTGAAAGGTCACACCATGTGCCTCCAAAATTGTGCAACTCCGCCAGTCGTAGCGTAGCCATTTTGTACCTCATGAACTCGTGAACTGTTGAGACCCCAACAAAAGTCTCCACATCACGACAGCCAACAGCATCAGTTGTCTAGAAGCTGGCTGTGTCCAGAAAGGTTTGCGGCAATATGGGTAAATAGTAGTGCCTAAACGGCAACATTTTCGTAGCAGTATAACATAGTATAACTGTATCACCATTTTGGAGTGTTACCCGGTTACCCCCGAAATGAACCAGGTTTCACCGAAAACAAGGAGATGGATGCAATAGACTCAGACCTGGAACCAGTGAAATGTCTACCTTTTGTCGTTGATTTCTCCCCTTCAAGCTGAATTTTCTTGCTCCAAGACTTGAATGCGGAAACTTCAATTCAATCCAAAATGCACAAAACAAAACTCATGCGCGAAATTGAAAAGAACGGGATATCAATGCAACATACCCTCTGGCAATCGAATATAGCAATGGAAAATCATGTGGGATGTCCCATCCAGGTGTTCGGGATCAATGGCTAGGCAAAGAAACGAAAGGCGCCGCCTTGGGTAGGCTCAACTGCGAACCCCATGCACCTAGAAAATATATATATATATATAATTACACACATGTAAACATAAGTATACATGCACATGTATATAAATACAAATATCATAAAGGTATGTGTCGGACATTACATTTTATATAGATGTGAAAGAACATATACTACACATATAAAAATATAATAATCACATACCATACCGTCAAAACGACCAAGGAAATTGTGCAAACAAAGTGGTCTCCCGCTCTCTGAATTTACACTGGGTTGCAAATACTGTACTGCGTCCCGGGATAGATATGCCATCAGATATGCAAACTGAAATCCCGATACAACGGGTGCCCACGCTATGTCCCTTGTTTGCCAAGCGGCTGTCAGGTTTTCCAAAATGAGAGTGCCAGTGACAGAAAATAGAAAAAAACCATCATCATTGGAGTTACCTCAGGTCTTTGACACAAAAAGAAACGATGTCATGCCGAAATCTAAACAGCAGCAAGTGGATCAATCTTCGTATTTGTGTCAGCATCACCTTGTAAATCGAAGGTATTCCCACCATCTAGCACTGGCGTTCCATCCGATGAAAAGATTTTCAAAGTGCGGCCTCAGGATCGGGAAGGACTTTTCTTAACTGATGCTATTCGAACAAAAAAAATGTAGGAAAATTGTCAGTGCACTTGACAGCAGATTCACAACGGCATCTTCCAAACCTAGCATCCAACACTCCATGCTGCTAATGTGATCTGCACTGGTGACGTGCTAAGCAAGTAGCCACTGACAATATCCAAGCTGGAGCTCCAGGTGATGGTGCCAGTCACCCACAGACAACCATCAGCACTACTACCTGGCCGGGTTAAAATGCTGATGGAAACGTGACCAGACACCGTTTTCTTTTCATAAAACCAATGCCACCTCCAATAGAACTTTGCAGGTCAGCAAAGGTAGATATGGATGCAGTGTTTGATTGCCTCAGTCAAATCAGGACGTGTTTTCCGCGTTGTCTTTAAAATGGTGACATGTGGTTTTTCGTCCCATGTTAGCAGTTCTCAGAACTTGGCTCACAAGTGATGGCTGCCACATGCCACACTGGTAGAGCACCGAGCAAAGCGAGAAAACGGCCAAGTCTGGGGTATAAAAAAATCATCGTTTCCACAACTCATTGAGCCACTTGGCTTCGGAATGCATGTGCCAATTCATTCCGTTTCATCAAAAAAAAGATTAAATAATAATGAATAATAACGAATCAAACAAAATCATGTGTGTAATTGTGTAATATGTCGTTTGTGGCGATTTGATTTGCAATTTGCACTCATCGTCCATCACCAATGTTTCGGCAACATGGTAGAAATGACATCGGGAATTCATCAATCACCGATGGTCTTTGATAATGACATGCAAGTAACATAAGGTGGGGTATCGGTATCGGGCAATTCGTTCATGCCGCATGTTTCTCAGAGGATGTGAAAGCACATGTTTCCAGAAAAAAATAAAGAGAACACGTTCGGCAATTGAGCCATTTTTTCGCATGTAGCCTCTGTGGTGTTCAGGCGTTTCTACCCAACAGTGAGGCCCTGGGGTGCCAGCACCAAAAGTTGTAGCAATTATGTACCAACAAAACTTAATTGGGTCCAATTCTTTGGTTGTTCCACATGGCACTAAATTGGAAAAACAAAACTGCAAAGAAACTGTTGCAAGGTGAAAAAAAATAAAAACAAACCTTTGCAAGGCGCAATAAAAATGCAAACAATTTTTTGCAGTGCGAAAGTAACGAAAAACAAACAATGATGGCATTTGGGCAAGTTTAGCTGCAGAATGTTGCAGATTCAATATGCATCGAAATGGTCTAGGGTTGTTTATTCCATGCCTACCTAAGAACCATGACTTTCAAGCAGCAACAACACGAAACTAAAGCATTGTTGAACAATTACTCGTTTGTTTTTTTTGCATTTTTTGTTGTTTCGAAAAGCGACTACAATCGTTTCAGCATAGGCCGGCCAAATTTAATTATCTATCTATATATTTGAAAGAAACGTAACTTTTCTGGGACGTGCGGCCTTTACGCCAAGAAATGGGAAAAAAAAAAAAAACAATAATGGGCGCCACCAACGCCTTGCAACACGCATCAGACAACACGCAGAGTGATAGATCCCCCATTATTTGCAGACACAAAATGTTCCTCATCTGAACGGATTCCTCGCAAAAAAATTGTACCGGCTCAAATACACAACAACCAACAAGAATCGTAACTTAAGCGCCGATAAAGCCGGCACTGATTCTACGGCTCCGAATCCGGGGAATAATTGCCAAAATGCTGGGTTTCCCTGACAAAAGTGGAACAAAACATGATGGAGAAAATGAAGGTTGTGACCGACCATATTCCGACACCCCTTGCATGTGTAGCGATAACATGAAGACCGGTTCATTCCCCAAACCGTGTGTCCACCTTGGGCGGGTTTTTACGGTAAGAGGTAGGGCCTGTGTTTGATCAGGGTGCTCCATTTGGTTTCCTGATTTTTCTTCTAATTTTTTAGCGTCTGCTGGGCTCTTGTGACATGTCCATGTTCATCTTGACTGCGCAGGCTCGCACAAAGTGTAGGTCGCGGTCTCGGGATCCATCTGGGGCGCGGCATGTTCCCTGTCAGTTCTCGCATAGGATAATTCTTGCGACATGTCCATGTGCATTTCAACTGCGCAGAAAACCGTGTGTCCACACCGAAAAGTTCTTCCCCAGACAGTGTGTTCACACTGACCGGTTCCCATGGTAGGACTTAGGGCCGGTGCTTAATCAGGGTACTCCATTTGTTGTCCGGCATTTGTCGCGTGACATGGACTCTTGTGACATGTCCATGTGCGTTTCGACTGCGCAAGCTTGCACAAAGTGTGGGTTGCAGTCTGGGAATCCCTCTGGGGCATTGCATTTTTCCTGATGTTTTTCGCATAAAATGGTTCTCGTGACATGTCCATGTGCATTTCGACTGCGCAGGCTTGCACAAACTGTGGGTCGCGGTCATGGCATCTGACTTGCGGCATTTCACCAGAAAATGTTCGCATAAAGTGGTTCCTCTCAAATGTCCGAATGCATCTCGACTGCGCCTGCGGCATTTACCTGAAAATTTTCGCATAACATATCTATGTGACATGTATGTCCATTCGCATTTCGCGTGCGCGGGCTCGCACAAAACGTGTGGCTAGTGTTTGGGGCGCGGGATTTATCTTAACAATTTTCGCATAAAGTAAGTTGTTGTGACATTTCCATGTGCATTTTGGTTGTGCAGTGTCGCACAAAACGTGCGGCTAAGATCTGGCGCGCGGAATTTTTTTCCGGCAAATTGTCGCGTCAAATCGCGCTTGTGAGATGTCCAAGTGCATCCCGACTGCGCAGGCTCCTTGCATGATCTTGCATAATTTTTTATGCGAAAATCTTTTGGG